GAATATTTATAAGCCAGTTTTGGCAAGAACTTTTCAAGGTTTTGGCACCACACTTAAGTTTAGTTCTGCCTACCATCCGTAGACTTAGGCCAAACAGAAGAAGTTAATTGATGCTTAGAGGCTTATTTACGATGCTTTTGCAGTTTCCACCGAGCAGTGCGTAAATAGCTTCCTTGGCTAAGTTTTGGTTCAATATACTTATTAACAATTCCACTAAAATGGCCCTCTTAAAGCTTTATATGAAAGAGATCCACCCACTTTCCTTAATTTACTGATTGTCCTTCCATGATTGAATATGTGAACCAACAAATGTTGGAAAGAATTCAATCCTGAGAGAGCTCAAGGACAAACTCACAGTAACCAAGCCATATGATAGGTGTTGATCTACACCGTAGAGATATCATTTTCAACTAGGAGACTTTGTGTACTTGAAGCTCCAACCCTACAAGTTTAGATCCTGGCACGAAAACTTAATAAGAAGTTAAGCCCGCGTTTCTATGGTCCCTTTGCAGTCTTAGAAAGAATTGGTCAAGTTGTTTACAAACTGGGCTGCCTCTCATTGCTCACTTCATCCAATTTCCTGTTTTTACAACTCACAGTAGCCTGCACAACTCTGTTCCTATACAGCCCTTTCCTAAATTTTTGAATGAGACTTTGAGCTCCTTGATCAACCAAAATCATCCTCATCAATACGTACTCTCTTAGATAGTCCTCAAGAGATCCTTATTCAATGCATGTATCTTCCCACCTTCAAAGCTACTTGGGAATTGATGATGTTGTCAATTTCCAATATCCTCACTTTCACCCTTGAAACAAGGTGGTTTTTGTGAAAAATGAATAGAAATGACAGTAAGGGAGTCCATAGTTCATGAAGAGTTGGTTTAAGGGATCATCCACATGGAAGAATTGGAGAGCATTAGTGGGAACAGTTAGTGGCTCGAGTAACCAAATTGTATATAGATGAGTAGCAGTCTAGGGAAAAGGCAAGTTGTTTCTAAAAGGGAATTGTGGATGTACCTAGCTCCTCAAATTGCTAGGAACTATCTTTCTTGCTTATTTTGCTCATTTGTTCTTATTGTTCTCCTATTCTAATCTTTGTTGAATACTGATCAATCAATATAGAGGTTGTTTCTTGTTATCTAGTGTTGGTGTGGTTGGCTGATTTCATTTATTTATTTAGGAGTTCCTCAATACCTCTCTCTAATATTCACCATAAACATCTCAAACACTCTCCACACTAGTTAATGAGACGCACCTCTATAATGGTCAAATCCAACATTAAAACACTAAGAACAATTGTTGTTATTGAATTAGGTGAAGATGAGTTGTCAAATAGATGTCTAACCAATGTTTTACGGTATTTTAGTCAGTATTGATACCTTGCAAGATGTGATCTTCTTTATCTTCTCTCATACCTTATCAAAGACACTTTGTTTGATACCTGGTTGCATCCTAGAAAATATTTGGTAGTTTATTGGGGGCCACTTTCTCCTAAGTTGGCATGGATATGCCTCACCACTAATCGAAGATTAAATCCAAGCCACTCACCTCTAAGGCACCAATAATCCTTTTGCGATCACTCATAACCATATAGCGCTTGTTCTCTTCCCCAATGAACTCTTTCAACAGCCTCAAAAGCCATCTCCAACTATGAATTTCTCACTCTCACAACAAATGGCAAATGAGAACACACCATTTTTACATTCTTGTAAAGAGTGACAATAGAATACCCTTGAAATGAGTTTTAAAGTACCTCGTCAAGTCCAGTAAATGACCGATGTCCAGTCATAAAACCAATCTTACAATAGGCAAGGCACTAACCAACCTCCAAAAAAAAGCTGAGTCCTTTGGTCCTTCTTCATTTTTCACTCAGTCAACTAGTAGAATCCAATACCAATATAGGCATACTATATCAATCTCAGAAAATCCCCCACATATCACACACCCATGTTATATAAATTCAACTCTAGCCCTTTCATATCATGTGGATGTTGACTCATACTTTATAATCGTTTTTAGCTTTCATTTGAAGTGATTGTACGAACATTGGCATGCATCTCTCTAATAGTGGGCTCTAGCTTCTAGCACACCAGGAGCAATTCCTTCTTTAATAATAGTACATTTTTGGCAATATGTTTACCCTCATATTTGCTTGCATACCAACATAAACAAAACAATGGTACTCTTCAGTCACCCATGGAAAGCCCTTGGGGTGTGATGATGGACTTGCAAGGGTTGCCTATCTCAACTGGATTAACTTGTTATATAGAAGTGAACCTCAATTATCATATTCATCAAAAATGAACATTTTGAAAGTCTTCATCAGTCTCAATGATGATACGTGATTTGACCGTGGTACATAAACACTCTAAGTTTTCCTTGTCTGGATGATTGGGTCACTTTGAGCTCACAATTTGCTTGTGAAAGTAAATGAACACACTAAATTCTTGGTGGTCAATAGTTTTCTTTTGCAACTGAAAGCAGATGATCTTTCTTTGACTAGTTACTTTCCTTTAGTCGAGTTAATGTAGCTATGCTATTCCTAGTTCTGATCTCTTCTCGTGACTCTGGTAAAACAACTGTTAACAACACTTAGGTTGAATTCCACTTGTAGTGATAGGGCAGGCTCACTCTGACCAAGGAGGGAGCTTTCGCTTCCTTTTAGGTCCTATGTTCATCATAGGTGACAAGTGAAGCAAGAAAAGCACGGTGTCGAGGGAAGCCAGTAAAGTAGTCTTCACTGAAAATGTGCAAGTGCAACCATACATTAAATGGAACAATTTCGCAACTTGCACACCCAACCAAACATAATGGTTTACTCATTCATTCAAATAATATTCAACTATTTCCATTGCATCAACAACAAATCAAAACAGAATATAAAAAAAGGTATCTCACAAGGGCCGTTTGGATCAGGGCTATATAAGAAAACGGGGGTAATTTTCGTTTATTTTGCAAGATTTATGTGTTTGGTTTGCAAGTAATAAAATATTACAGTAATCTTTTATTGCAAATAGTATTTACTGTTGGTAATATGGGGGATAATCTTATGGGTGTTATTAAAACATTACCGGGGTAATCTAATTTTTCTACACATTTTGCCTTTAATTGAAAACCATTTCGGACACAATTGCCCTCAAATGTCTACCAAATAACAATTAGCCCATCTCCCCTACATTTGAGAAATTAGCTAAAACACCCCAGCCACAAAAAAGTTTAAAAGTTAACAAAATACCCCCAATCACCCAAGACCACCGCCAGCCGTGACTCACCATCGCCAGTCGCCAGTGTCAGTCGTCATAATGGCGCACAACCGACGAGATTTAGCTAATCGTGCACCAGTAAAGCAAATTCATGGCCAGAAACGGCTAGACCTAGTGTTTCTATGGCCGTTTCACGGCCAAAGATGTGGTCGTGAAAAGACCACAGATCTAGCCTTTTCACAGCCACATCTTTGGCCGTGAAATGGCCATTGATCTAGCTGTTTTTTGGCCATGGATTTGTGATCTATGGCCATTTCTGGCTTTGCCAATGCACAACCAACCATATACGGCTAATCGTGCGCCATTCTGTCAACTGTCAACGACGGCCGACGGTGGTAGCTGGCTGCTAGCAGTGACTTGGGATGAGTGGGAGTGATTTTGCTACAAATTAAAGTTTGATATGGCTGGGGTGTTTTAGCAAAATTTCAAATGTAGGGGGTTAAAAGAATGATTCAAAAAATAATAATCATAAATACTATTATATTAATATTTAAAAATGAGGGCAATTTAGTAATCTATATAACATACCCACTCATTTATCCTCCCAACCAAACATATTATTCACCAATTTATTCAAACCAACCAAACACATTTTCTAAATATTTCCAATAATCTTCAAGGTAATATTTCTTTCTGTTAATATAATATACCCTTATAATAAAACATTATATGATTCAAACGCCCCTTCATAACTTAATAACTTTAACATAAACCAACCAATAAACTATCGTATTCTCAACAAGTTGAATATGACATTTTTCGAGCAACATTATTACACAAACAAAGACAGCATATAATAAACAACCACCAAAATAATATAATTATTTTTGTTTGCGTCATTAGGGGATAAAAGTGCAACCAAAGGTACAAAGGGTTTTTTAAATTTAATTTTATTAATTGTCAATCACAATCATTTACCTATTTATTCACTTTAAAAAAAATGTTAAAAACACCCAAAACTAATTTTATTGATGAAATTATCTAATACAATTTTAAAAATAAAAATTGAATCGCACTATCTAAAATGGTTATGCTTAAAGTAGACAATATTTTAATTTCATTACTTTGCTTATATAATNACATACGAAAAAAATAGCTGGAGATTGCAGATTTCTAGCTAATAAACTTCGTTTAGAAGTTCTATTGCAGGTTGGCCGGTGTTGGATTAATAAATATTCGTATTATTTTGCATCGAAAGTAATTGGCTAAAATCTTCTACACATATACTTTTAATACAACTGGGGCAGATTATATACGTATGCCGTGGTTGGTGGGTTTCCAGAGGCATTGGTGTAATCTACAGATCTGAGGTTTATATGGTTTTGTGTTGAAAAGACGTTTCTAGGTCTCTAGAAACATGGTAGGTGTTTTCTCATAGGTACTGTTTGCTTTGGACCTAAAATTCATATAATTTTGTTCTGAAAAAACATCTCTAAGTGGTGAAGATGTCTTTGTACTATATAAGTAATTAAAGTTTTCGTCTCTTAACCAACGTGAGACTTTAACACTAATACTTACGAAAAATTGTTATTAATATGATATATTAGGCATGAATTTTTAAGTGACAATGATTTTGTTACTATCAATTACATTTTGATTTTCATGTCATAATTAATGGAGAATGGTGCTTTAACGTAGTAAAGAAGATTTGAGTTCCAAGACCTTAAGAGTTCAGATAGTCTTAGCATGTTGGCAAAGCTAAGAATAGATGAGCTGGATCTCAATTAGTTTCTGGGAAAGCGTAATTTGATTAATTAATTATCACATAATTGCAAGGTTTTTGCTGTGCATTATTGGAAAATCCAACTTTTGCAGTGGAACTACGCCACTGCCAAATATTAATGTGAAATACGAGAATACACGTGAGTCTGTCTTTTTCGATATTAAGAAGATTGATTTTCATGTCAAAGTAAAGTCACAACGAATCCATTGAGAATGACAGCTGACTCCAAATCTTACTGGCTTCCACAGTTTCTTTATCCATTTGTTCTCATAAAATCAAGGTACGCCTTGCCATTTAATTTCCGAGCAAAAAATTCCTTGAAATACTTCTCCAACGGGACAGGCCGGAAAATCGCTGGACTATTTGGGCGAATCAGGCTTGGTGCCGGGCCCAACTCAGTGTCTAGCTTGGAACTATAGAATGTTGCTACAGACAGCCTCTCTTTCATTGAGTTTACCGTTGCTCGGTGCTCAATGCTCTTATAGATGCCATTGCTCACAATCTGTAGATGCAAATTAGAGATGTCATAAATAGCAATTTCGCCGTATGTTTTTCATTATTACAAAAAATATATAATAAAAACCTAACCCCATTTAAACTTATCCAAATCTAACCCGACTCGAGCACAAATATTAGTAAACTAATTCTAAACTCAATTAGACAGTGGGTTTACCGTGAAGGGGGTGTTGCTCTCTCACCTCCAAATGAGTCGCTGTAAGCAAACAATCAATCAAAGTTAAGAGAAATATACACTATATTCATCAATAAGTTCACAGTCGTTATTCTTTTGAACTTTTAAGAATATCTATGTTATGAATTTATTTCTCAATTATATGCCATGAAGATTTTTCATTTTATAATATTTTTTATAACGAAGAATGTCGTGAATCTTATCTTGTATTTGTCAGTGTAAAAGCTCAAATTAAATTAGGATAGCATTCTGGTCATAATTTACAGCCAAGTGGCTTCATTATCCAATGCAAGAACAGAAATTTTCCCGGTAGTATAAGAAGTTCAAAAGCAAATTTTACCTCCATGATGTCTCCGATGTTGACTACAAAAGCATTTGGAAGCCGTGTAACTGGAATCCATCTCCCATCTTTGTGAATTTGAAGGCCTTCAGTGTCATTGAATTGATAGAGAATAGTGAGAGCGTCAGCATCAGAATGTGGTGTGAAACCAATGGCCTTCTCTGGTTCAGGACATGGAGGATAATAATTCATTCTCATTGATTGAACTCCATCATTCAACATATCTCTCATCTCTTCACAATCCATGTTTAATGCTTTAGCCATGTGATCTAATATTCCCATAGCTAGCTTTTTCACTTCCATGGAATAAGTTTCTAACACCTCTCTGCCCCAAATTCATGAAGATGAACATAAAAATCACATCTTTCTGTCAACATAAAATTTCCTCAGCAGCACTAAGTCAGTACAGTTAATAAACCACTAGACCCTAAACTATAAATCTATCGGACTATTCCATGTGAAACATGAATCTAATTCTATGGATTACTGTACTTTTAGAATTAATCACCACATTTGTAAACCATAGCGACAAAAGTGTATGGTAAACAGTTTCAAATTAATTTTATAGAGACCAAGACTGGTTTAATTTGATTGAATGATATGGATGTGGCAGATTAAACCGATTGAGAGTTATAAATAATAGCTCTAATTAGCAGAGTTGAATTGGGCTGATGGAGATAGAGAGATTGAGACACCTGAGATTTGGAGGAAGCTTGTTAAAGAGTTGAGTGTTCCTCAGATTGAGTGGAAGGGTTGTGATATAGAACATATCTGACCAGTCTAGCTTTTGATCCTCTGAAACCACAAAGAGCTGCCCAAAACCTTCATGGTTGTCTGGCTCCTGCCACAGCTGCTTCTTTTCTTCATATGGAAGTTTGAAGAAATTTTCAATTTCCATCTTGAATTTCTCCAGCAATGAAATACTGACTCCATGGTTTATAACCTGAACTTCATATAAATTTTCATCAGTTTCTGATTAACTTAGTTGCTCTTTATCTTTGAGATGAATAATTAAGTTGACAGTACGAACCTGAAAGAATCCCCATTCTTTGCAAGCTAAGTGCAGCCTCTCCAATTCATAATCCACAGAAGCCAATTTCTGAAGATCAATGACAGCTACAGATGGAAGACAGGAGTCATGGGTGGCAATCGGAGGGTCGTCATGAGAACGAATATATCGAGGTGGGATGTCGACGATGGGTTGTTTTGCTAATTCCTGAACATTTGGTACTATTAAAGATTTACCAAAGTTGACTGCTGCTCCCCTCTGCAACTCTAACTCCATCACTAACAAACAACGAAGCAGCAACAGTAACCACAGGTTAGATTGGAGACAAAGACTCCGGTTTATCGCAAAAAGTTGGACTTCGATAATGTTGAAATTTATCCTTACTGGTCCAATGATGTTTCGAGGCCTAATTTTTCTTTTATATATTGTTAATATATGATAGGAAGCATCTATCAACTCAAACAATTGGGATGGACGGTGGGTCTTTTATGGTTTCGATTGAACTTTTTTAAAAAATCGATTTATCAAAAAAAAAGTGTCCAAACCCTTTATAACTCACATGTCTAAATTGGATTTGTCAAAAATATATATGATTTTAAGAGATATGAATGGGAAAGATTACTAAAATCATATCATGAAAATTAAAAAATTATCCGAACAAATTAATAGAACAAAATAGTTAAGACATTTATTTAAACTATTAAGTGAAAGTTGTGAGAGTTTACTGATTGAAAAAAATCAAATCAAAATATTACTTAATATTATAAAAATGACGACTTGAAAAAAGATGGACCTAATATTAGAGCCAGTGCTGAGGTGGGTTGGGTGATTGTGACCAGTGACTCAATCATTATACAGACCTCGGTTCAACATTTTACAAGTATGAAACAATAATATTATATTTACAAAGAAATTTTTTAAAAATTTACATACAAAATGAGGTGGTAAAAAATAAATAAAAGAGTGAAACAAAAAATCAAACTCATTAAATCCACTCTTCCATTCATTTGTTGTCACATCACTTTGTATGAAGATCTTTATAAAATTTCTTTATAGGTGTAGCATTACTCAATAACAAATTATCATCAACATTTTACAGGCACAAAGAAAAAATTATTAGATTAACACAAACACCTCGTCCATTCAACTTTCTTTATGGTTTCTTTAGGGTTTTCTTACATCACACCCTTTCAACATATAAAACTAACAGGTTACCCCCATAATTAGCCACTTACACCTCTACATCAATTTTTGGTGTTAAAATTAAGAGTAAACTACTTTTTCTCACCCTAGGTTTGTCTTAATGACATTTTCCCACCCAAAAAGTTTCAAAATACAGTTTTCCCACCTAAAATTTATATTCCATTAATATCTAAAATACACTTCACTTTCTCAGTCAATGATTGGTGAGTTATCAAGAGTCAGAGTAAGAGGAGTTTTGTAGAATGGAGGTCGGTGGATCAAATGGTGGTGACAGATTGAATATTTGTCACCGGAATTAGCCGAAAATCGGCTAAGAACAAGAAATTCTAACTTTGCGATGGCCGACAATCAGAGAGAAATCAGGTGTCTTGATAAAGAAGAGACTAGAGATCCAAATTGTGATGATGGAGAGAATTTTTGTAGCCGAAATCGACCAGAATTGGTTTTGGGTATTAAACAGAATATAAACTTTAGGTGGAAAAATGATATTTTAAAATTTTTTGGATGAGAAATGGTCATTAAGGCAAACCTTAGATGGGAAAAAGTTGTTTACACTTAAAATTAAATAAGGGAAGGGAAAAAAAAAAGACCTTATATTTTAAAAATAAGAAGAATTATAAATTAAATATTTTTAAATAATAAAAAGAATAATCAGGGTGCGTTTGGTGCGCTGCACTGGACTGAACTAATTTTTTCGTACTGAATTGGATTAAATATAATATTGCCACGTATTTGTTTCAACATTGTACTTAACTAAATAATAAATATTTAGTATTTAGTATTCAAAAAGTAAAAAATTTTAAATATTTTAAAAATTAAATAAAATTTTGAAGATAATAAAAGTTTTAAACTGACAGTGGGGTCGCCAGCCAACGCTGTTGGAATCTAGACTCAGTCTTGGATGACGCATCTGATGACATCAATATCGTGTCAGACAATCTCTCCAATGGCGCAAACATGAAACGACACGATACCTTAATAAATTACTTGTAGAACGAGACCTATAATAAATTACTTGAACGTTGGTCACATTTTGCGAGTGTTCAAACAATAATGCTACCGAGTACCGACACTGCAATTTTTGTACCAAAATATTATATCGGTCTATGTATATCATGTCTCTAATTTCTTTAACAATTTTTTTCTAATGAATGATCGTCCATCAAATTTGAATAGTCGTTCACTCACATAGACATTCATCCATATTATATGGACAGAGGTCCATATATTAGGGACGGACGTTCCCATTTAATCATAAGTAAAATAGAAATTTTTTTTTTTTTAAATTAGGGACGATCGTTCATCTGTTATGGATGACCATCCCTTCATTTTGGACAGGCGTTCATAAATAAGGGACATCCGTCCTTAACCAAAATATGAAAAAAAAAAAAAAATTGGGGACAACCGTCCCTTAAGTTTGAACGGGCGTCCATTCGTCCATACTTTTAAAAAAAAAAAAAAAAAAAACACCTTCTGATCTTCACTCTTCTTCTTCTTCTTCGCCAAACCAAAAACCACAGCAACATCTCTCACAACATAGCTCATTGATCTCCATTGATATCCAGTTGATCCTTACGCTAGAATCTGGGAAGCAGCAACAGGAGAATTTGGATTAACAACAGTCTCAAATGAAGCATCCTCCATTAAAGTAACTACTCCACCTGACAATCCTCCACCATTGGTGCTACAAAATGCTGTAACTTCTTCAAGCACTTTGATAGGGATAAATATAATCACAAAACTTCCTGAAAAGCCGACTCCCTTCTTCATGGCGACCTACTTCTCTGAAGTAACTCAGCTCGGCCACAGTAACACCTCAAATTCATTTTGCAGCAATTCTAATCCTCCCACTGAATTACAACATAAACAAAACAAAAATAACCTTTAGATCATAATCACTTGGTTTGAAGGCTTCTAAGCACTTGAAAGGAGATGGCAATGGCGTAGGAGTGGTATCAGCTGGGAATGTGGCACAGGCTAGCACAAGTGCTTCTCAAGAAAATGCCCCAGAATGGGTTAAGAAAGACAAAAGGAGATTGCTCCATGTTGTTTATCGTGTTGGAGATTTGGATAAGACGATAAAGTATTCAGTTTTTATTTAACTTCAACGGCAATGTTAATGTTATAAATAAGTTTCTCTTTGAAACAATATTATTGTAATAATCTTGGAAGGATATTAATGTATTTGGTGACTTTAGATTCTATACTGAGTGCTTGGGGATGAAGTTGCTGCGGAAACGGGACATACCGGAGGAGAGATATACAAATGCCTTTCTTGGTTATGGACCAGAAGATTCTCACTTTGTTATTGAACTCACTTACAGTAAGCTCTCTGCCTGCTCCTTTGTTTTGTTAAGCTTTGCTAAACTCTGAAATAGCTGAACTTCCGGTGAACCTTCTGCAGAATACTGAGATGTTAAATAATTTTCGTACATGACTTTAATGGAGGATGCTTCATTTGAGACTGTTGTTAATCCAAATTCTCTTGTTGCTGTGGTTTTTGGCTTGGCGAAGAAGAAGAAGAAGACCGAAGAAAGTGTTTTTTTTTTTTTTTAAAGTATGGACGGGCGTCCATTAGGCATCCAAACGTAAGGGACGACTGTTCAAAATTTATGGACGGCCATCCCCAAATTTTTTTTTATTTTTTTTATTTTCATATTTTGGTTAAAGACGAGCGTCCCTTATTTGTGGACGCCCGTCCAAAATGAAGGGACGGCCGTCCATAACGGATGAACGACCGTCCCTAATTTTTATAAAAAAAAAAAAAATTATTTCATTTTACTTATGAACGGGCATCCATTAAATGGGGACGCTCGTCCCTGATATATGGACCCCCGTCCATATAATATAGACGAGTGTCCATGTGAGTGAACGGCCGTCCAAATTTGATGGACGGTCGTTCACTAGAAAAAAATTGTTAAAGAAATTAGAGGCGTATTACACGTAGGCCGGTACAATATTTCGGTACAAAAATCCCGATGTCTGTAACATTATTGAGTGATCAAATACATGCCAAGGCTAATATTTTTTAAGCGCACACACATAAGAAAAAAGTTAGCGGTGGTTGATGTGTTGATTTATTCTGATTTAATAATTTAATTAACTTGTCTAAAGTAAAATTGAAGTTAATTTATCCTCATATGCAACACGTGTTAATAGTTAAAAAAAAATTACATAACATTAACTTACATATAAATTAAAGAGTAAATGACTTTTTTCCACCCAAAAAGTTTTAAAATAACACTTTTTCACCCAAAGTTTATAATTTGTAAATACCTAAAATACACTTTCTTTTCTCAATCAGCATTCTGAGAGTTATCATGAGCTAAGATAAGAGAGGTTTTATAGAGCGGAAGCCGATGGTTCGAATAGTGGTGATTGATTGAATATTCGCCATCGAAAATCAGCTAAAAACAGAAAGCCCTAGCTTTGCGATGGACGGTAATCAGCAAGAAATCAGGTGTCAGAATGAAGGGAGTTTTGTAAAGAAGAGACCGGAAGTTCAAATGATGGTGACGACATTGTCGGAATTGGCTTTGGGTATTAACAAATATAAAGTTTGGGTGACAAAGTGATATTTTGAAACCTTTTAGGTGGAAAAGTGTCAATAAGGCAAACCTTGGGTGGGCAAAGTGTCACTAAGGCAACCCTAAATAAATTAAGATGTAATCAGAAGTTAATGTATAACCCACATGCACCATATCCTCAGTTGTTAAGAGGATTTCTCTCTTGTGCAACTTGTGCCAGTATTTAATTCTATATTGATAGAACACATGCCCTGAGTGTTAATGCATCCACATGCTTTTGTTAATAATTCATTTCTCGTAGCTTCCAGGAAGTTACCCAGTTCTTAATTAAATAATTCATAAAATTTCAAAAAGTTCAACTAATTCCCTTCTTTTTCTGTGTATGTTAATACCCTTAATGCCATTTCGAGGTACGTATATACGATTGTTTTTACTTGAAGCGATGATCAATATGGCATCATCTCAACCACCACTTGAGAACTCTGAATTCTCCATAGTTAGTGTGCAGGAACTCATCAAAGACCCTAATATCACTGTGCCAAATAGCTTCTTTCGTCCAGATCAAGAGCCTCCAAAACTCTTAAACGGAAACCATTATTTCCCTGCAATCCCCACTATTGACTTGGAACGTTTGGTTTCCAAGGAACAGGCGGAGCTTGAACTAGCAAAGTTGGAATCGACGTGCAAAGAATGGGGTATCTTTCAGGTTAGTAATCGTTAGTGGAACTATGAAGGTTCGTCTAGTTGATTAATTTTAATTTCATGAACCCAAGTTTTGTGTTACTATGATGTAGTTGGTGAACCATGGAGTTAGCTCTTCACTGCTGGAGAAGCTGAAATTTGAGATCCAAGAATTTTTTAATCTTCCTCTAGAAGAGAAAATGAAATACAAAATAAAGCCTGACGACTTTGAAGGTTATGGAAGCGTCGTCCGATCCGATGGAAAACTTGATTGGGGGGATAAGTTGTACATGACAACTAACCCTATTCACATGAGAGAATCGCACCTTTTCCCAGAGCTCCCTTCATCCTTAAGGTCATCCATCCTTCTCTTGGATCTCAGAGAAATAACATCTTTAATTTCTTTTTGGTAAAATTTTAATGGTTTTATTATCTGGCATTTATTATTTATTTAATAGTGCATGCACATGCAGGAATACTTTAGAGTGTTACTTCCAGGAATGCAAAATCTTTCCAGAAAACTTCTTGGAATGATAGGAAGACTCTGAACACGGAGATTAAAGAAATGGAAGAATTGTTTGAAGATGGGATGCAATCAGTGCGGTTTAATTATTATCCTCCATGCTCAAAACCAGAGCTGGTTATGGGTCTTGCACCTCACTCTGATGCTACTGTTATCACTATTTGAATCAATTAATGGAGTTGATGGTCTTCACATTAATAAGGATAGCGTTTGGATTCCCGTCAGCATCCTTCCTGGAGCTCTTGCAATAAACTTTGGGAGATATTCTAGAGGTTGTGTCAACCTTTCTCTCTCGTTTCTCTTAAAAGTAAAATAAAGAAATAGAAAAGGAAGAAGAGAAAATTAATAATAAATTATATCATATAGTTCTCTTCAGTATAATGATACTGAAATATAAATACTAGTTTTAAGATCAGGATTCTTTCTCTACTTAATTTTTACTTGCAGTTTCAAGAATCTAATTTCAAGTTAATAAAAAGAAACAGAATCGCACGAGAGATATCACCAATTTGTATAATTGTCTTAGTCCGTTAGGTTTATAAGACATTCATGATCCTGAAGATTAGACAGGCTCTAATGTAGTTTAGATACTTCAAATACCTAAAAAGAAAAAAGAAAAAATGAGTTTCTGGTTTACATTTGTGTAAACTAATATGTTTATGTTGTGGTAAATAACTTGTACATTTTAATTTATTAATGTGGTCAATAAATCTACACAGATAATGAGCAACGGACTTTATCAGAGCGTCGAGCACGAGCAGAGCATCAATAAACTCGGTGAAAGAGAGGATATCAATTGCTTTTTTTGTCCGCCCCAAGTTTGATGCAGAGAATGGACCTCAAGAAGCCTGATAAATCCTGAAAACCACCATTATTTAAAAGAATAGGGACGGAAGAGTACTTTAAAAGTTTCTTCTCCCGTAAGCTCAAAGGAAAGACAAACTTGGAGTACATGAAGATTGAAAATGGTGAAGGCATGCACCACAATATTGTAATAAATGGTCCTAATATTACTCTTTGGAAGCTTTGTAGTATTATCTCACTGACATGCTACTACGTGTAGTAGAATATTTAATCTACGTAAAAATAATGCGATCTCATAGTTTCGGTTCGGGTCGTTCTTGATAATCTTCTATTTGGGCTTTTGCTTTCTTTAGCCCAGCCCATTAAAATGATAACATTTGTAGCCCATGTCGATCCTTGGATTCATACTTCCTTTAACAATCTTTCTTTTAAACAAGAGTGTGAGTGGATTGGATCATCATTTATAAAAGGATTATTATCCGACACCCCTCCAAGGTTTTAGTGTTAACCACTCACATCCCAAAGGTATGAAAAATTAGCCTGACCTCTCTCATTTAATATAATCATTCTTGTAACGAGGTAAAAATACACCAATTGACATAAATCCCTAAACAACAGCTAAAGGGGAGGTATTGGATAATTGTTCAATGTGAGGGGAGCTAAAGGTAATTTTTCATACTTTTGGGGGTGTGAGTTACTTAAACTGAACCTCTAAGAGAGGTGAGGGATGATAGTCCTTTAAAAAAATATATTTATATCAAAGAATAAAGATGACATACCTCAGTTTCTATAAACAGAATGGAGAGAGCCTTCCCTTTTATCTCCCACTCTCCTAAAGCCTTCCCTTTTATCTCCCAGTCTCCTACCATAGCAAGACAAATATATCGTGTTCTTATCTTAATAGGGCTGAAACCTCTCAAGAGAGGTGAGGGATGATAGTCCTTTTAAAAAAATATATTTATATCAAAGAATTAAAATGACATACCTCGAGTTTCTATAAACAGAAATGGAGAGAGCCTTCCCTTTTATCTCCCACTCTCCTAAAGCCTTCCCTTTTATCTCCCAGTCTCCTACCATAGCAAGACAAATATAATCGTGTTCTTATCTTAATAGGGCTGAAACCTCTCAAGAGAGGTGAGGGATGATAGTCCTTTTAAAAAAATATATTTATATCAAAGAATTAAAATGACATACCTCGAGTTTCTATAAACAGAAATGGAGAGAGCCTTCCCTTTTATCTCCCACTCTCCTAAAGCCTTCCCTTTTATCTCCCAGTCTCCTACCATAGCAAGACAAATATAATCGTGTTCTTATCTTAATAGGGGAGATACCTGAAAGAAAAAGCACAAGAGAGTCCACAATGTTTAAATATTGCTTTTGACCCCAAGTATGTAGAATATCATGGTTGATATATATATAAGAGGTGATTAATAATTTGATAGACCACATCTAAAGAAGAGGAGAAAGGGCATTAGTGGGAAGAAGAGCAGTGAGAATTAGTTAGAGGAATAATCCACATGTCCTAGAATTAGAGAATATTAGTGGGGAAGCATAAAAAGGGAACCAATACTGTGAAAGGGGTTAAGTTGTTTTCTAAAGGGAATATTGTTGGGAGGCCACTAGCTCCTCGAAATGCTAGTAACTATGTTTTCTTTTCTTGCTTATTACTATTTCCTTTGAATGTCTGCATTTGTTACTCTTTTATCAATATAATACATCTCATTATTCTACATATCATTTCCCAGTTTTTGTGTTTGCTTGATTATGAGTGTTTGGCTCAATAACTTTCAGGATTTTGAGGTTGAAACACTCTAAAGTCCAAGCTACAATATTTCATTAATTAAACACAAACTAGAAGAAAACAAGTAGAGTTTTCTACAAGAAAAGTTAGAGAGAGAACAAAGCTTCCCAAATCTCTGTATAATCCTATGGTGATGATACGAGTTGAGGGATAGAAAACATTGCAAGAGCTGCTCATAAAAGAATAAAGAGTAACCCAGAATTACAAGAAACCAAGGGGAGCAAGGAATTAAGCTCCCACTAAGAGACACAACAACCATAGCAAGCCTCAGAGACATGAAGCAATAGCAAGCACACACCACAACAAAAGGAAGCACCTCAGCAGCTATAGAAACCAACCAACCAGTTGTGCCACAGCAGCACCCCAAAACACACAAATAAAAACAGCAGCCATTACAAAAAAAAATTCTTGAACTTCAAATGGAAGTAGCCACCAATAAACTTCCATTGAAAGAGAAAAATCCCAAGACAGGAAATTAAACAACCATTGCAAATTGACAAAAAGAAAATTTTATCACATGGGCTCTCAGACTTTGAAATTATTAATGATACCCCTTTTACCCTTGTTTTTTTATAGTAGGATATTGATCCATGAGACTTGGTTGTTGCCAGACCCTACACCTAACAAAAGCCCAGTAAAAGACAAAACTAACACCAACCACGCACCAGCCCCCCACTTGCTGCCAGTCTAAGCACCAGTCGCACATCAGCCAACTCCAAACAAGAACTACCCAGCCCCGCACATAGTAGGAACATCCACAAAAATCCCAAACAAGACAAATCCTACCCAGAATCGCTCCCCTAGATTTTGAATTTTTTTTTCAAAATCCTACATGTAAAGATATGTTGTGGATAGCTTGTTCTTTACTTTGAAAATCCTTTTTCAATCAACATAAGCTTTCTCTTAGTTTCTTATCAAGAAAAAAGAAATGTATAATAGATAATAACATGTCAATTCCTACACACAGAAGTCCTTTATATTTCAAGCAACATTTAAATTTTCTTGTTGCACTGCACATGCTATAAAATCTTATTAAAGGCAGTCAAACAAAGAAGGTTCCTTGATTCCCATTATATTGTTCTGGCTCCTCAAAATTAACCAAAAGGATCAACAAGACTGTAGAATTTCTCTTCCTCACGAGCAACATATATGGTATCTAGTATTCAGTTTACCTTTAAAAATGCATAACATGTTCTTTTTTATTTCAGACAATTGTAGTAAAAACCTAACAGCACTAGCCCCACAACTAGCAAAAAAAACCCAGCACCACTAGTCACCAGAAAAACCCACCCCCAGCCAATAAAAAAACCCAACAACACCAGCCACCAAAAAAAACTCAGTTCCCAGCCAACAAAAAAACCCAACACCACCAGCCACCGGATAAAAACCCAGCAGCACCAACCACGAAAAAAAACCAAACCCCCAGCTAGCAAAAAACCCAACAGCAAAAAAAAAATGATGTCGAACGACCACTAGCAGCACCAACCCCCCAAGAGAACAAATACATAACACTACCAATAGTCAACCCAATACACACTCCACCCACCCCAATCCAACGACCAACCCTAGTAGGATTTGGCCGTGAAATTTTGCGGAATCTACAGATCTGTTTGTTCTCGCTGCCGAAACTTCGCCAGCTTGTTTTGAGCCCATCCGGTGTTGAAATCGGCGATCCACCCACCTTTTGAAAGAGTATTGACCGAGCTATCTGGTAGTTTCATCACTGCCTATGGTCGCTATTTATTTCACTGGGATCTGGCCATGAAAATTCACAGAATCTGCAAATCTGTTCGTTCTCACTATCAGAACTTCGGCAGCTTGTTTCGAGCGCGTCCAGTGTCAGAATCGGACGATCCACCCACCATTGGAAAAAGTATTGAACAAGCTATCTGGTTGCTAGTAGTTGTTGCAAACAACACAACAAGTTTTTGGCGCCGTTGCCGGGGATTGCAGTCAGGCAATATTGAAATCATTAGTTTAGCTTTACTTTAGATCTTGTTCCATTTTTTTTTTTTTTTTTTGTAGAGGCTTCTTTAGATTTTCACATCACCTTTTTACGCGAATGCACACATTTGTGATGAATGCCCTCGGTTACTCAGCAACGTCACAACATATAAAGTGCTTTGCATACTCATAATTCAAGCTACGGTTTGACGCAAAAGTAAACATGGGTCTCATGAATACTCCTGGTTACTAAGTAGCTCAAAACAGCAGAGTAGTTCATTCAAAAATAAGCACATAAGCATAGTGAATTTATTTCAAGACTGTATATGCACACTTTTTATTTATTTATTTTTCTTTCTTTTTCTTTTCCTCTCTTTTCTACAATTCTTTTATTTTTGTTTAATTGTGTTTTATTTATTTATTTATTTATTTTTGTGTGTTATCGTCAGAACGAGGAACAAGTTTGGGGGAAGCTTACGTGATAGAAGAAGAAGACAATTTCAAGCAGACTAGAACACAGGGTACCTTGTGTCACTTTACACAACCGTGGC